GCTTACGCTATGTGAGGATGGGAAAAGAAGAGTGATTGAGACAAAAAAGAAGGACAAATGAGGACATTTCATTACAGGATGCATAGATTTCTGCAAAGATGGCACTAAAACCAACACTGAGCACATGCATACGTGAATGGAACAAAGAAAAACGAGATTATCAAAAGCTTTAACATTTCTATTACTTTGTAATAAATTGGCCTTTAGCAAGGCTGAGCTATACATTTAAGTTTATTACCTTTAAACCTTTTCATTGACACAAGCATATTTATCATGTGTGCCGTTACAATTCAGAGGAAAATTAAAAGACCACAGCTTTTGTTAGCTTGCAGAAACATTAAAGAAAAAGTGAGTCAGTGTGACTGTGAAGTAAAACTGAACACGAGAACAGCCACACTGTGGTCTATCAGCAACTCCTCCACGTGCTTCAGAAGGAAATCTTATGAGCGGGAACATTAGGCTCACTACAGCTGAATTCCCATCAACCCTCAGTATTGTACCAGTGGACCATTATATGAGATGATGGACAATCTCTCACTGTGTATGTATGACCATGGAAAACCGGCTGACATCAGCTAGAGGGGATTGATGACTAAATAAGAGCGCATTAGCAAAAATAGGGGCGTGTAGGTGTGTAGATGTAGGTGATTTTAAGCTCACAAACTGAAGTTTCTGTGTCAGCTGATGTTTTTTACTTGTACGGTTTGAATGATGCTTCTGTGCTCTATCCTGGTGTCTACTGTGATCTACTCAATGAACAAAAAACAATCATTAAGAAGACATCAGACACACAGATGTCTTCAAATTGCATTTTGGTTCAACCAAGATGGTAAAATACAGATGCGGCATTCAAAATGACACAAAAGAAAAAGAAGAATCTATTTCATTCCAAATTAATCAATTCATCTTTTAAGAATGAATTAATCCAGACTAAGACTTAAGGTGGAATTAATCATTTAGTTTGCTGTCAGCTAAACTAAAAATGAATCATTTCAATTCAGTTTCATTTGTATAAGCAAACATCCCAGCATTCACACTCCGACCCCAGACTATCAAATCAAATAAGAGAAAACAACGGAAGAAATCTGAGGAAGATCAAGACATCAGTCCTGATTCCAGTTAAAATAATCGAAGTGTAACAATTAGAGACAGCAATGCTGTAAGAAAAGAAATGATCACAGACTCACAACATTCATTAGAAACTTATTAAAGGTGTAGAAGCCTACATGCAGTTTAATTTGAAATGTATGCTTTTATTTTGATAGTGCAGAGAAAACAGGAAGTTGGGCGAGAGGAGAGTGGAGCCACATGGTTTTTTGACTAATGTAGATTTCCTTTGAATGGAGCCTTAGCTTGACGCTCCCCTTAGTCCCTCTTTCCATATCCAAAAAACAAAAAACAAAAAACA